TAGCTAACTCCCAAGTCTTGTTCTTCAAGAGAGAATTCATCTCATCACCCATGACATTGCACCACCTCTCATTTTCTTCACTCTCAATAGCTTCCTCAAAATTGGATGGAATCTCATCAGTGATAATAGGAAGAGCAAAAGAAACATAGTCACTATACTGAGCTGGCTTGGTAATTTGTCTTTTTCCTCTGTTCTTGGCAATAGACTCTTGAGGTGAAACTTGCTCTTCAACTTGAATAGAATCTTCAAGTTCAACTTCTTCAACATCCTCATGGTCTCCAACTTCTTCACTTGTAGTGGCTTCGACATCAGCGGAAATAAGATTTGAAGTACCAGAGGCAACTTTCTCAAGCTCCACCTGTTGGACATCCTTCACATTCTTCTCAGAGTCTTTGAACATACTTTCTTCATTAAATGTCACATCTCTGCTGATTACAAGTTTTTTCATCTCTGGGCACCACAACCTGTAACCTTTGACACCGCTACTAAAACCAAGAAAGATAGCCTTTTTGGCTCTAGGATCAAGTTTATTTTCAGTCACATGAAAATAAGCAGGTGAACCAAAAATACGAATATAATCATAATCAGTAGAAGGTTTCCCAGTCCATACCTCCATCGGTGTCTTACCCTGAACAGCAGCTGAGGGTAACCGGTTGATGATGTGACATGCATAATTAACTGCCTCTGCCCAAAATGACTTGCTTAAACCCGACTGAGACAACATACATCTAACCTTTTCAAGCAAGGTTCGATTCAATCTTTCTGCAACTCCATTTTGTTGTGGAGTTCCCCGGACACTAAAATGTCTCACAATCCCTTCCTATTTGCAAACTTTAAAGAAAGGGTCGGATGTGTATTCACCACCATTATCCGATCTCAAAATCTTAATCTTTCTTCCAGTCTGGTTCTCAACTATTTTCTTCCAACCCAAGAAAATGCTTAACACCTCACTCTTGTTCTTCATAGTGTAGACCCAAGACCTTCTTGAATAATCATTAACAAATGTCACAAACCAATGTTTACCACTCAAAGAGGGAGTCTTTGTAGGACCCCAAACATCCGAATGCACATAATCAAGAATGCCCTTCGTCTGATGTACTGCAGTACCAAACTTCACTATAGTTTTCTTTCCCAAGACACAATGCTCGCAGAAATCAAGCTTGCAAGTCGTGGCACCTTTTAGAAGACCTTGTTTCACAAGCCCTTGTAGAGCTTTCTCACCGGCATGTCCTAATCTCATATGCCACAGTCTAGTAGTATCTGAATCAGATGTGCCCATATTTTCAGAGACTACAAATGCTTCACCTGTCACAGTGCTTCCCTGCAATAAATACAAATGGTCACATCGAGGAGCTTTCATCACAACAAGTGCACCATAAGTAACTTTCAATGTCTGTCTATCTGAATGAAACTTAAAGCCCTTGGATTCCAAAGTACCTAAAGAAATAAGATTTTTCTTCAAATTCGGTACATACCGAACACCTGTCAACTCTTTAACCATGCCATCATGCAACTTCAAACGAACTGTACCAATCCCTTTTGTTGTGCAAGGATTGTCATCTCCCATGAACACAACGCCACCATCAAACTCTTTCAAGCTTGAAAACCAATCCTTGTGAGGAGTCATATGATGAGTACAACCCATATCCAACACCCACTTAGTAGCACAATCAAATGATGAAGAAGTGGTTAAAGCAAAATCAGAAAAATCTGTTTCAACCTCAACAACATTAGCTTCAGAACTTTCTTTTCCTTTGGTCTTCAATCTAGGACAATCTTTCTTCCAATGGCTCTTATTACGACAAAAGGCACATTCATCCCTTTCCAAAGGTTTTCTACCTTTAGAGTTTCCTCTAGGTCGAGACTGTGATTTTTTCCTACTAGAAGATGATATTCTCTCTGATGATCTACCTCTAACAAATAAAGCTTCAGATGTACTATCATGATTTTTCTCTATGCCTCATTTCATAATTCATCAAGGCATTTGACACATCTTCAAATTTCACAGTTTCTTTACTATGCATAATAGTGGTAACAAAATGCTCATAAGAGTCTGGCAAGGAATTCAACAATATTAAGGCCTTATCTTCATCCTTAATATCATAATCTAAATTTAACAAGTCGACAATCAACTTATTAAAAGCATCAAGGTGTCTAATCATTTTTGTACCTTCTTTGTATTGGAAGCGGTAGAGCTTTTTCTTCAAGTGTAGCCGGTTCTCTGCACTCTTCGTCATATACTTGTCTTCCAATTTTTGCCACAACACACTTGCTACTGTCTCCTGCATCACAAAATATTTCTGAGTTTTTGCAAGGCATAACCGAATTGAAGAGCAAGCCCACAAATTTAATTTCTCCCATTCCGGCTTCGACATAGCTTCCGGCTTCTCTCCCAAAGCGGCAAGTAGATCTTGTTGAGCCAACACATCTTTGACCTCACATTGCCACATCCCGAAGTTGTTTGTGCCATCAAATTTTTCCACTTCGAACTTTGCATTTTGCACCGTAGTTCTTGCAAACCCGGAGCTGCTTCCAAAAGGATTCTCATCTTATCCGTCTGACATCTTTGGCAACTAGACAGTACCCAAGAGCAACCAGTGCTCTGATACCAATCAAGTGGCAACTCAACAAAGAGTTCATCCTCTAAATTTGATGGAAGTTCATAACCTTAATCCATGAACTTTTAGAAGTTTTGAGACTTGAAAATCGCCCTCATTCTATTACACCAGAAGTCATAGTTAACTCCACTGAAGATCGGAGCTCGAAGCTCAGCTCCAGATCCAACCATCTCGTTCTTTGATTCAATTGAGTTCTTCGTTGAAAACCCAAAGGATTTATTCACAGTTCACACCCCTTGATTCAAATCGAACCAAGCTTTGAGGCCATGTTAGTGTTTGTTAACTAAATTGAATTGTATCTCTATGTTTTGTGCAAATTAAATGAAAGAAAATTGAAGTTGCTATTTGTGCTTAAGGAAGAAGTAGATGGAGTTCGTAGCTCCTATTTATTCATTCACACACTTTAAGCATTCACACTGAGATCCAAAACAAAAGGAAAGGAATAACATAACCATTGGAGCTACACATGCCCCACACGAGTCAAGCATCCGAAGTGATCTCACATGCACAACACGCTTTCACTTAAACACACACATCTAATATGACAACTGGCATAATGCAAGCCATTGAGATTTTCTAATCCTAGCCGTATATCGCAACTAGAACTAAACCTTTAAAAATAAAAAAGAAGAAAATGAAGAACAGATTGCAGAAGCTTGAGCTTGGTTTGATCTGAAACAAGCTTACTTCTCAACAAGAAGAAACTATATGTGTGTGTGTGTGTTGTTTATTAAACGCAAGGACCAACCATGTATAAAAGCCAAAATAAAAAGATACAAGTACAAAATAAAGAATAATTTTTTTTTTTTTTTTTTTTTTTTTTTAACTACAAATTACATTGCCAAAAGAGTGTTGAATGAATACAAAAACCAATAAACACATTCTTTTACCTCAAAATATACATTAATGGATAACAAAAAGAATGACAAAAATTGACCCATTTCCCACACTTTGTTAACAAGCTACCATAAGTGACGATTTGGCTTGAGCATAACAGCTTAATCTTCATGTCATTCTATTTCTCAAAAATGTACTAGGCAAGTCGCACCTTCAGAAAGTCAACTCTTGCTAAGAGATGGTAAGATCATCAGACATTACTGAGGGTATTCGGTGGCACTTCAAAATCTTTGAAGTTGCAACTTTTGCTAAGCGACGATTCAACACAATAACCCTATCATCATCCAAATCAAAGCGCACGCTCTCTTCGCTGCAGTTTTCGACAAGTAGGCATAAATGTTTCAAATTGTCAACTTCAACTCCGTTAACCTTCTTAACCTGTAACTCTGCAAGACGTTCATATCCTGCATTGATATCGTCCATTAGGACCTGAGAAAGGATGACAAGCTGTTGACCAGGCCGTTTTGGTGGTTCCCTCAATGCGCTCACACAATCGTCGAGGTGAAGAAAATTGAACTAACTAAAAGTAAATAAATCTTACCTTAAAGACTTTAATCTCTCACTGGAGTGATAATCCATCAAGCCTCCAGTCAATGTTGTCAGGAACATGCACAACAAGATGCTCCCAAGGCATAGAATTTCCTAGTGATGACGAGGTAGAGACTGAAGGTGCGTAAGTCTAACCTTCAAAATACATTGCAGAGAATTCTCTGCCTGTCATATCAGAAAACTTGTTTATGCCCTTCCTCAACGAGTTTCTCCCTTCTTCCTGACTGTTGAAATTATCGACGGCCTCATATTTCTTCTTAAAGATGCCATTTCTTCTTAAAGATGCCAAAGCGCCTCTCACTTTCAGTATTATTGGGTATGTGCAACACTAAGTGTGACCCCGCATTTTAAATGACTATTCACGAAAATTCAAGTTTTTGTAACTAAATAATTAACACTCAATTAACGAAAATAAAATAAAAAATGAAATCGTCTAAATACGAAATGCGTAATTAATAATTAAATCCGGGGACGGGATTTCACAAAGTATGCCTATTTCTCAAGAATGGAGAATCACTATTTAGTTGTTCTTCCTTTGATGCTGGTTGTTAGGTTGGGTTGTTGCCGCTGTTTACAGGCTTCCTGCATTTTTTGTTTTTATCTCGGTCTTTGTTGCTGTTATTGTGCTGTAATTTGTTGCTTCTGTTGGTTCTCTTTTAATATATTCATTCATTTACCAAAAAAAAAAAAAAAAAAAAAAAATGAAAAAACGCACACAGGATAAAACAACCGAAACAGCAACGAAAAGATGCAAATATACATAACTCTCTAGCTAAGCTAGTTGTGACCACATTTGCCTGCTGCATCCAGAGACAGAGCCACAGAGACATTCTCCCCCCCTCTCCCTCTCCCTCTCTATCTCCCTCTCTCTCTCTTTGATTGATCCTTCAGCAAGTACGCGGTCCCCAGCTGTTTGAATTTGTCAACTCGGTATCCTGACTCAGACTGAGTTTAAATATATGTCAACATTAACCTCGAGTTTTCGAGAATGACTTACTTACTACATGGCGTATCCAGTATTCCAAACTAATAACACTACGAAATATGGAGAAAGACTTACATACAACATTATATTATTCGTCACGGGAACTACTGTGTTGTCTAGGAGTTGTATATGTTAGTACTTCCCCGAGTGTTCTGATTAGGGCTCTAGTGATTGCTAGTGAATTGGCTCATTGAAGATGCAAACTTGGCTAGATCTTGTGGAAAAAACATTTGCCTATTGTTATGGGATAACTGATCAGCATGATCTACTGCTCCTCCTCCCATGCCCAAAAAGTCTCTAGTTGGACTGTTTTGACGATCGATAGTTCCGATATTCTTTGAACCCCTTTGAATAGTATTCATCAGCTGCTCAAGTGTAGTAGAACTGGTATGTGATGATGAACTTGTTAATGAACTCAAATTTGCACTATAACCACCTAATTGATGTGCATTTTGAACAAATTCATGAAGCTCGTTCGATCGATCCTGGTTCAAATTCGAGAAGCCCATCAAAGTGTTGGAAAAAGATGACGAGGACATTACATTTACACCCAAGCTGCTGCCTTGATTGTTGCTGCTTCTAGTCGAACCCGATTGAGCTGCTTTTTGTAAAAGTGCTGTGGCGGACATTGGGGCTGCCGGTGGCTTAGAAACGCTGCTGCCGACCAGATTACTATTGTTTCCGATGAGTTTCTTAGTCCCGCTTTCTTGAACTGGTGACAATGACAGATTCGTACCCCTTGTTGAAGCTCCAAAAGTTGACATGGAATCAGATGAGCCAAAGATTGACATTGTTGGAAGATGATGGCATTTGCACCATTTCAGGAAAAGTATTAGAGCTTGATGATGTTACATAAAGCGGATGATTAGGATTTGCTTGCATATCATCCATCAGATTAATCTGATTAGAATTACTATTTGCCTGCTGATTCAACCAAAGTGACAATCTTGACTTCTCATGTTGATGAAGCTGATCTAAGACGTTAAAATCTTGCCTCATCAAACCTTGCTCATACTGCATGGAAATTTGAGACACATCTTGAACTACTGTTTGACTATTGTTCATCATTGGATTGTTTAACATTGCATCATTTCCAAAATTGAGATTTGTAGGAGCTCCAGCAACTGATGAAGTAGCGAGCCTAGCGCTCTCTTCAGTTAGGGCGTCACAAAATGCTCTATGTGTTATGAAGCTATCTTTCCTGTAATTAAGGGAAATTTCATGTAAAAAAACAAAATAATAAGTAAAAAATGAAACCCCATTTATTACCCAATCATATATATATATATATGGTTGCATTAATTTAAAAACCCTAAAACTCATCAAACTCTATACACATTATGAGCATTCAATTCTTCTTCAAGTAAGCAAACATTAAAATTACTCAAAAATAGAAGAAAAAAAAACCTCTGTATTTATGAAGATATGTTACCTGGAAAAAAGGGTTCCACAGTCACACTTATACTCTCTAGTCCCACAGGTCTTGGAGTGAGCTTTCCAATCCGATTGGACTGCGTATTTCTTCGAACACTTTTCGCACTTCCACTTCTTCTCTCCATGTTTTCTGCTGAAATGCTTCTTTATTCCGGTGAGGTCTCCGAGAGCTCTCGATGGGTCGTGGTGGACGCAGGTCTTCTCGGGGCAAATATAAACCTTCTTCTTCACCTCTTTGTTCAGTCTCGACTTGAGCTTCCAAGGAAGGTTGTGACCCCTTCGGTGAAGTTGCAAATTCTGATCTCTCTGGAAACCCTTGTTGCATATTTCGCAGACGAAACGGTTTTTTGCCATTAGGGTCGTCGGAGATAGGGCCAGAACCTCAGCATCTGGATCTGTTGAGCCAAAGTATGAAACAACAAATAGAGAACAAACCCACCAAAATATGTACTAGTAAATTGAATATATGTATTGTATGTTCGAGGAGATTCAGAGAAGATTAGCGTGGCTTCTGTGCCCGCCTGAGAATGAAAAGCATAAGTTGGAAATTAAAGTATAATATTATAAATGAAGTAGCGGTAGGTTGCTTGCCTGGTGTTCCTGGGAGATTTCTCTTCTTCTTCGCGACGGGGTTAGGAGGATTGGGTTTAAGGACGCTAGGGTTTGCATTTAGTTGATGCTCTTGAGCAAACCCATCAATGGCGGATGGCATATTAATGGAAAACCCATCACCGGACATCATTTGCATCTCTCTCCTTGTAGTTTAGTCGCTCACAAAAAGATAAAAGATAAAAGAAAGGCTTTAAGGAGACTAAAAGAAGAAAAAAAAAAACAAGTGTTTTGTGTTTAGACTTGCACTCCAATCGATTCTGCCAAAACCCAAGTCAAGTGTTGTTTCATTGAGTAGTACTTTAAATTACAAAAACCCTTTCACAAAAATATAGGACGCTAGAGGTTGATGATGATCTGGTTTTCGCCTCTGTCTGTTTGATTTTCTAAGAGAAAAAAACCAAAAACCATGACGCCTAAAAGAGAATATATCATCTTGTATATTTTTCTGGCTAAGCTCTCTCTCTTTCTCTATTTTTCTTCTCTGCAGTCATATAGTCTCACGCGTTTAAGTCTCTCTCTCCTTTATCCTCAAAGTCGGTCAGCCGTATATTTTGATGGACCACCACCCTCGCTATCTCATCAGACAGTAGAGTCACACACATGAGAGCAAATTATATGAAATGACTTCGCTATTATTATATTGTTTTAGTTTGATAATACTTTGTTGTAAACTGAAAAACTTAACAATGTATTATTATCCTAGAATGTGATAACGATAAACTCAGCCAGTCCTTCTCTACACACACGTACGCAAAAGTGGAAGTGTGTGAGAGGCAGAGTCATGAGCTAGCTTTAGCTAGGGGCTGCAAGCGAAAGCAGAATGTGTAGGGTAGTGTGCATTTTGTTGTTTTCTGAGCTCAAACCCCAATTATGTTTACATATATATAATTAGTTAAAAAAGGTTAAAGGTTTTTGAAGCTAGCGATCAAATCAAAAAGGTAATTCTCAGAATGTTACTTGCCTTTTTACCAGCCTTTCGAATTTGATCGGCTTAAAATGATTATTGCCATAATTAAAGTTGGGCTCAAATAAATTAATACTTAAGCAGAGATATATCAGACATGAGTGTGTAAATTTGTGCGTGAATATGCATGTGGTTCCCGAGGCGTTTGAAAGGACCGTCCGTGATATCTCTGTGTCTCTCGATGAGTTTTCTCTGTGGGAAAAAGAGGGGACTCAGAAAGCTGAGGACTGTGATGCATGATCGATGCATGCATGCTGCACTGTCCATCATCATCATCATCATGATATTTCTTACACATATACGATCGTATAAGCTGTCATGCTGATATTACTGATCATCTTCCAGACTTACTGTATTTTTAGGTATGGTACCAGGTCACTACTGGAGAGTGCAGGCCATCTATTTAAATGAATTAGAAAATCTTGGGAAATGCTGGGATCATCCCACGAGCATGTGGGTGTGGCCGCGATTAATCCTACTACTTCTCCAAATTCTTCTCTTAATATCTTATGATTGTAACTCACTAACTAAATATTTGTCTATTTTTAAATTAAATTCTTTTGTTATATCTAATTGATTATGGACACAAATAGTAATGAACTCACTAAATTACTTTCCTCACATAAATTAGTTTCCTCACATGCTTGGTAAATAATCTAATACTTAAGCTATTAGATAGTAATGTTATATATGATATATGATTCCCACCTAATGTTCAATAAATAGAAGGTTTCTTTCATATGTATAGAGATCGGGAGAGAGGATCAATGAATTACAATTGGTCTTAACTTGAACACACCAGACACTCCTTCATTAATGTAGTTTTTAAATTTCAAAATGTTAAATAAATAAGAGTAATACTACACTTACCACATATTGTACAATCTCTTTACTAGAGGTAAGACTCACCAACACATGTGAGTCCAGTCTCTATAAGAGAAATGATACAAATATGTGGTAAGAGTATCAATTTTAAAATAATAACTTTGAAAGATGCATGAGTGAAAAAATAAACCATTCGAATCACAAGATCAGATCGGAACCGCATAGCGGGTGAGACATATGATAATGCAGTCATTGTCAATTTAATTAAGCTCTTGAGGTTCTGATTAATGTAATTAAATCTTAGTATTTGTACGAAATATAGCAACTGTAGTCCAATATTATGTACCTTCTTAATGATCCAATCATTTCATGTGTATATTCAGAACACTCAAGGGCTAACTAGTTAATTAGTCACCTAAAATGGTGTTAGCCACTCGTTTGAGACTTTGAATACATTTCACAAATTTCTAATAATTTTAACCGATCATTTTCTACGTTATTACAAATTTCTAAAATTCACTGAAATCAAAAGTTATTTGTAGTTTTTGAACTATGGTTTGACAAATAGATGAACATAGTGTATAATCAATATGAAATGCTCACAATTATGAGATAATCTATGAGTGGTGACCTAAACAATACTATTTGCATCATGAAATTACTTTGTAGGATATCTCTAGGTAAGTAATTAGCATTGTATTAAGTTAATAACTAGTTAACACTTGACGATTCTTTGTGTGTGTGTGTGTAATTAAGGAGTTAATTAATTAGATTGCATGCAACCCTCTAGGACCATGTTAGTAGTATCACTCAAATTTTGAGATAGGCCTACTTAATTACACGATCAAGTTTCCTTTAAGCCGCCCAAGTTACACCCTAGTTAGTGGGCAAAGTTGACTTCAGCAGTTTGCAGAGAACTCCAATTTCTTTCACTACAAAGCTTTGATACTCTAGATCCATGCTTTATGGTATGACTTTTCAATTGTCACCTATGATAATATATACAGTTATTTAGTTATAGCTTTAGAGTACCACGAATTTCTTGCTCTATAGTACATAAACCGACCAGCTGGGTCTTGAGAACATTTCTACATAACCTAAATAGTAGTTTGGAACATCACAAAACAGGCAAATACATCCTGAATGCGTCAGAGGAGCTAAACAAGTTTATGTTGACGTCGTCTGAACTGACTTTGAGCAGAGCAACGGTTTGTTAAAGTTTGATTTAGAGTATGCTGATTCAAGAGAAGAAAGGAAATCACAGAAAATGGAGATGAATATGAGTGCTTCTCTCTCTGCAAAATCATAGAGAATGTTCTTCTTTCTATATTCTCATTTTTACTCACATTGCATTGCATAACGGTTAGTTATATATGCATCTGGAATCTCACCATTACATCAAGAAATGATCTCAACCACACATCTAGCTAAGTTCAAGAATCCTTCCACATGTCACTTAGACAAAATTACAACATGAGCCCTACACTTAGCCTGGCAATTCCTAACACGACCCGATAACCCGACACAACATGACACGAAATTAACAAGTGTTTGGGTCGACACGATAACGAATCGGGTCGTTATCGGGTAACCCGATAAGCACCTGTTAAGATAACGGGTTGGTTCGGGTATACACGTGGGTAACACGATACACGATAAGCAAAATATTAATTTTATAATTTTATAACCCTAAAAAAATACTATAATAATTATATATATTAATTTAACAAAAACTATAATAATTATATATATATTAAATTAAATATTAAAAATTGGTGACCATTGGATTGGCTTAAGTATACACATCATTCAATTTCTAAGTGTTATACATACAAAATAAATAAATTTAAATCTACTTAATAAATATATATATATACACACACCATTGAACTTGATGAGATACGAATTCTACGAAACTAATTTCAACAA